ACATGCTGTACAGCAGCAAATAATCAACATGATAAACATTTGAACGATAGTCAAAGCTTGAAAAGCACAATAATATTCAGTGAGCCATACAGATTAGACAGTAGAGGATGAAATTATTACGAACTTCTTATTATGACAAGTATTTGCGACATTTCTTTTCAGACAATTACTTTATTATTGGCTTGAAGTAAATGGTCTTCAGGAATAGGATGTCATTTTCTATGCACATGAATGAATGCCAATACAAGTAATGATTCCTCACTGTGCCACGAAGCAGAATTTTGAATAGTTTCTGTCTTGAAAAAGAACGTTCTCCTGTAGAGTTGGACACGATCGTGCACATGAAAACACTGAGTGCAATTTCAACATTCGGGAATACAAATGTCAAATTGTCCGAGATTATTTATCAGTACAATGCAGAAAGAGTCTCCCAATTTTCATCAAGAATTATGTAGTGCTTGACATGCACACATTCATTTAAAAAGTCATCGTAATTCAGGTCTTTGTGATGCATATTAACAAGTTGATCACATTTTATCTTTAGTGCGTCAAAAGGAATGGTTTTTCAGTTCCCTGAAGAAAGAAAACAGATTTGAAATCTGTGAATAAGCTTCTGCATGTTTTGTCAGTTCAAAGATTACAGTGTCCAGAATAAGGAGTAAAGTTTCCACCGTGGACTTTTCGGTTTTATTGAGGACTATCTTTTCTGCTGATCCATCATATCTATTAAGACGCACACTTCGTTTTCGTTCGTGTTTTTTCCCATCACTGTAATCTGTATTTGAACACATACTCCCGGCTTTGAATTTATATTCACTATATTTCACTAGTTTCCTGAAGACACGTTTTCATAGCCTCAAGAAGATTGATGGCAACAAAGATGTTCATATTCTTTGATTGCAGGACCTTGTCTCTTTTATTCATTCTTTCTAGCATGTCATTCCAAAGAACCGGGAGAAAGATCGTTTCCAGGTTTTCCGTTTTTTGGTTCAATCCTTCTGCCTCTCGCCTTGTATTCACTTGCTGTTCATTCTAGGCTGATAGAGAATCCAATGCCTGTTTTATTTTCTCGAAACCCACATACAGAACATAGACAGCATTAAAATGTGCTGACCATCGTGTGTCAGACAGACTCTTGACCACAAAATCTTTTCCTAGAGATGATGTCAATACATTCCAGTGATGAGTAGAACCAGCAAAAAATGAATATAGAATCAAAGAATTTTATAGTCTGTAGACAACATCAAATTCAGTGTGTGTCCAGCACAGGAGACATAGATGGCAAACTCACTGCGTTGATGAATCAGTGCATTCAATCTACTAGGTAAGACGATAAACTAAATCAGTGTCCTGGGTAAGACGATAAACTACGTCCAGCAGCAAGGCCTCTGATCAGGAGGTTTTGAGGAGCATGGAACCACCTCTTAATTGCTGATGTTCCGAGGTCCACCCTGACCCGAGGTTGTAGTGTCTGTTAAGGTCCCAGCTATGGGTAAATAGTTACCCCCCCAAAGGATCAAAACACTATGAAATATAGCCTAGTGGGTGTCTGGCACTGATCTAGCCTCAGCTATGTATAGTTCTACAAGACTACATTCAGAACTTTTCTCAACAGAAATAATTTATTTACAAAAGTAGTCTTGGTCCCAAATATTAAATGATAGAGAGATGAGATTTTTACCGGTGAACCTGTGCTAGGCCTATGCGAAGATTGATCGTCGCAAGTCAGAGTCTGATCTTTTACGTGATAAATTGTCTGCAGGTGAACTCAACTGGCGACAAAGAATCCCTTCTATTTAAACAGGTGGGCGGCCTCTTTGAAGAAAGTCCTCGCCATTTGTGAGCAACGATGAGATCTTAGATAGGATGCAAACAAGGATGGGGCTTATATTTAATATCAGGAAGAGGCAGCTGGAGTTTCCGGGACGCATAATGAGGAAGGAGGGCCTGGAGAGTCTGATACTCATGGGTGGAATAGACGGAAAGAGAGACAAGGGAAAACATCGCGAGACATAATCGGCAGACTTGTGGGTGACAGAACGTGGTCTGGGGAAGGAAGCAGAGGTAAGGAACTTGTTGGAAGCTGCAAGGAACAGAGAGAAGTGGAGAGCCATGATCGCCTACGCCCTGAAAGGACATAGCGCATAAAAAGAAAGATATGTCAAAAGGCGACATTCTCCGACTTTCTTTTTTTTATATTTAAGAACCAACTCAGATGAAATGGATCTTTCTATAATGACATATATTTTCACGTATCGAAATACGCGTGGTTTGTAGTAATTTCTTTTCTTAGTATTTCCTCAAAAGGGGCTTCTGTAACACGCGTGCTCTTATCATTAGAATTCGGATAATCAGTTTATGTCTCATTAGGCTGATCTTTCAATGGAACTCTCATTCATTTGCCCCCGGCTTCTACTTGTTTTTCCGGCATATCACCAGTGTCATAAAGTAGCGGCCATAATATAAGGAACGGAAACAACAAAGACATAAATATGTGTATTACTTAAAAAGTAATGCATTATTAGCAATTAAATTTTAACCGAATAAAGATTAGGGTGTAATGCATAAATATTATACAAAGTTACAAAAATTTACATAATAGTTTTTAAAAAAAAATAAAGATTAAATGGAACAAAGGAAATAAGTTACTGGACAAAAGTTAAGGAACGATGTTAATAATTTGCATAAACTTTTAATTTACATTGTTAAAAAACTCGATGGAGCTTTTCAACAATAATTAAAAGTTCATTTATCATTAGGACTTTATTTTTAGGCAATATGGCAAATTCTACACGCAAAACGCTCTTTTGAAGAAAAAAAAACTCATTATCGCTATCAATAAAAAAGTCAATTTAAGAAATTTCTGATATTGTTCATAGGTCTAAAAGTGTCGTTCATCGTGTAATTAGCAGGTATAAAACCGATAAAACGTTAGATGCAAAACCAAAAAACCCGCAGACCTCGCAAAGAGAAGATCGAAGAATTGTTAGAATATCTACAAAAAACCGTTTTGAAACTGCTACATCAATTGCCCGTAAATTTAATGAAGAGACAGATAATAAGATCTCAAGGAAAACGGTTGCTCGCAGGTTAAAAAATGCAGGATTGCATGCCTGTATTCCAGCTTCGAAGCCTCTCATTTCAAAGCGAAACCAAAGGGCACGCCTGGAGTATACGAGAGAACATGTTGTTTGACCTGACGCACAATGGGATACAGTTCATTTCAGTGACGAGTCCAAGTTTACTATATTTAGTTCTGAGGGCAAAAGTTACGTACGCCGTAGAACAGGTGAAAGACTGTCTTCTCAATGTGTCAAGAAAACCGTTAAGTTTGGTGGTGGTAGTGTGATGGTGTGGGGAATGATTTCATCTGCAGGAGTTGGCAACCAATAAAGAAGAACTCGAACACGTATATGGAATAACACAGATATATTACAAACAGGAATATATACAGAGAAGTAGAAAGTGTTAGTACGAACAATCAGGTTTAGTAGTAATTGTCTGAACGCGACTCTGTTTCGGACTGTCTCTGACTCGACTGATTGACTCATTCGCTCTGACTGACTGATAGACTCCTGACGGACTTCTGACAGACCTCACTCCAGACTTCAGACTGAACAGTATTTAGTTCCCCCCCCCCCACGAGGCCATCATGTGGCACCAGGCCGGTTTAACATGGGATCTCCCATCCCGTGGGCTCGGCCCAAAATATGCCCTTTGAACCCGTATAAACGGGTTCAGGGTCGGTTTACCTCCTCGAAAGAGACTCCGCCCTTCGGCGTAGCCTCGTTCGGGTTCCTCCCCGCCCAAAGGCAGAGAGTTCAACCGATCGGCCGGTCAGCCGGTCGCCCGACTTTAGGCTGAACTCCCTGCTTCCTCTTGAGGCGCAGTATTTATTACGTATGGAATAGTCCATTATGTTATTATGGGTAAGGTCCCATGACAGTCTGTTAAATATCTATCTATCTATCTATCTATCTATCTATCTATCTATCTATCTATCTATCTATCTACTTCTCGCATAAATATAGAAAAGTTTAAAGACTACATTAAGTATCTTATTTACATTATTCGGACTATTGTCCTCATCTTTGTCGCCATATTTATCACAACGTTTCGGCCGTTTTACGCTCCGGCCTTCTTCAAGTGGTTGGAATTTCGAACTGAACCCTTTATTATATATATATATATATATATGGAACGTTGATGTCGAAGTAAACGGACGTGTTTTTTGTGCATTGCTCAACGAAAGCTATGTCGTATTTTAAAGGAAAGTATTCATCGTTTTTAATGATCCATTATTATTATTGATGTAATGAATATGCATACAACTGGGTTCCCCCTCACAGTAATATGACTGTCAGTCATAAATACAGACTGATGTGGAGGTAGAGAACGACGCCTATTGCCTACGCCTATTGTCTTCCACTACGACGAGGACCAGCCCATTACGGTTACCTGATAGATTGTCCTACCCGGTTACACTAGTCCAAAACCACTTTGTTACTTCGAACAGACATATCCCTTTCCGAGACATATCAATTATATTTTCTTGTTTATTATAATATTAGTTATGTTATTACTCACTTAGAGTATTTAATATACATATTTTTAGAATCTTTTGAACATATTTGTTTATCTTTAAGATAAGTCGTGCTATACAACGATTTTTCTTTTTTTTTCTTTCAAAATAATTGTTGTTTAGCACGTGTAATTTATTAAGTATATCTCAAAAGAGTTATATATATATATATATATATATATATATATATATATATATATATATATATATATATATATTCATACACGTTTCATTAAAATTATAGAAAGTGTTGTCTATTTATTTTATGTAAACTCTTTTCATAACGTCTAATAAGTTTAATAACATTATAATTGAACGAGAAAGGAATTCACAATATTATTAGACGTTATGAAAAGAGTTTACATAAAATAAATAGACAACACTTGTCTATATTATTTAATGAATCGTATGAATGAAAAGATGCTTCCTAAATACACAATATATATATATATATATATATATATATATATATATATATATATATATATATATATATTTAGAACATTTAATGCATTGCATTTCTTAAATAAGTTATATAGTGGCATGAATAATTCTAATCTAATTTATATCTAAGCGTAACATTTATTTATCTGTTGTTTTTACGAAAGTGGTCGTGATTTTCGAAATTGGAAGAAAAGCATTTTTATAATGTTTCTTTTCTTTATCTTTGACTAATGGCTCATTATCACCGATTTCTTTATCTATTATTATTTATATTCAAAGATTCTTTTAACAACATTTGGTATGAATTTTATTCCTTTATAAACATTTTCTTATTTATTAACTGTACAGTAACGTACTTTCAATTTTGTTGAAAAAGCCTTCCCAGTTATAACTTTATTTTGTTTCGTTTAATACTAGTGAATTTGTTTTATTGTTTATCTTTCGACTATGTTAAAAATAACAAAATCAGCAAGAACATCAACAACAAGAACAATAATAATAATATTAATAATGAAATATTCTCATATGTTTGATAATAATTTTATACTTTATTTAAAATATACTAAGACATTGGCACATTTGATGGACTGTTTACTCCGACATCCAGTGTAATATATATATATATATATATATATATATATATATATATATGTTTTATGTGTAGGCGGAAATGGGTAGAAGTAGTACGTTTGTTGCTCAGCTGCTGCAATTTATTATTAAGGTGGACGGTCAACACTGGTCTTCACCCACCCCCTAAATCTCCACGCGCCACACATTGTAAACCGCTTCAGCAGGCGGGCTAAATCACGCGAAATTAAAATCCAAACACACTGCACTCTTCTGTGTACTGGTAGTATCGGAGAGGTATAACTCCGTGATAACAAAACCTGAGGTGTATTGTTCATTGTGTTCGTGGCAAATATTTGTTATCAGCGTTTCTAATAAGTGTGGCTGGTTCTACACAAGCCTTCACCACTCTAAACAAATCTTCTGTGTAGATAGTCTGAAGTTCAGTGCTGCGTTCCTTCTTTGCTATTCAGCCTGAGCAACAAGTCCACTGAGAAAGAGTTAAGGCGACGGGGACAAGTACAGGATAGTACTAGAAGTCTCTAGCCGGTACTCTCACACTGGCGACAATCCGGTGATGGCTGTTCTTGCACAAACTTCTGAGCAATTGTGCTGTTTCTTTTCTTCCGATGGTGACAAAGCAGATCTATTTAGACATAGCACTGTTTTCCCTAATGCAGGGAGTGGGGTATAAAAGGGTCCCTAAAGACTGATTGTTCTTAATAAACTTGGTAGCCCGCTGCAGTTGTCTAGTGATCCAATAACGCAGTCGCAATAATCGATTTAGTAGAAATAAAACTCGTAAACGTGTTAACCTCGGGTCTTGGTGTTAACTTCGGGTCTCTAAGACAACAATTCTTCTCCAGAGCGTAAAACAGCTCTCATCGCTGATGTATTAAGCAAGCACAATATCGACATTGCTGTTCCCAGTGAGTCTAGTTTTGCAAGCACCTCTCAACTTGAGGAAATTACTGCAAGATATACCTTTTTCTAGGTGTATGCTTTGCCATGAAATCAGACATTGCTAAATCCCTGTCATCTCTTGTGAAAGGAATAAATTATTACATTATGTCTCTAGTCTTAGAACTCGACAACAATTCTTCTGCCACTCTTTCGAGCTGTTATGTCACAACCATGAGCATCCCTGTATCGGATATTGATGAATTTTATTATCAGCTACGTTCAGTCATTTCTAAAGTTCCATATAGAAACAAACTTGTCCTTATAGAAGGCTTTAATGCACGGGTTGGTGCTGACCATCAGACATGATGCCCTTGGCACTCAGAGGGTCGGGAGGATGAATTCTAATGGGCCACAACTTCTTTCTTTCTACCAAGAAATCGATATCACCATCACAAATCAGTAGTCCGGTCATCATAAAACGACTTGGATGCGTCCCAGATCCAAAAATTGGCATAGGAATGATTATATTATCACTCAGAAATGTGACACGAAAGACTTCAATATCACCCACTCTTTCCACAACAGACCATGCTCTACTAGGCAGCAAGAAACCTCTCGTAAGGACTACAGTTCGTAAACGAATTAACATCTTGAGTCTGAATTCTGATGTTAAGAAGAAAGAACTCTGGTACACTGGATTCAAGGCTTGATTCAGTTGTGATCTCAGAAGACATTGAATCCTCTTGGAAATCTCCCAGAGATGCCATTTATTCCAACTTCGTTGGTGAGGACTTTCCATAAGGAAGCATCAGGACTGGTTCGATGTAAATGATGCCCATGTTCAACGTCTCATCGAAAAGATGCCCGATTCGCACAAAATAATCATAAACGAGAAAAATTGTCAACCAAAAAAGCGCATATATAAACAGTGTAAGCGGGAATTGCAAAATGCTGTCAGAAAAATGAAAGAGTCCTGGTGGTTTGCTAAGGCTGTAAAACTCCAGGCGGCAGCTGGCAGAAAAGATCCCAAAGAATTCTATGAAGGCCTTAGAAAGGTGTACGTCCAACAAGAAAATGGGATTTCACCTCTTCTGTCGTTTGACGGTAACACACTCCACACAGACAAGAAGGAAATTATATCATCATCGACCAGAATTTACCCTGTTCTCTCTTGAGCCATACCTAAAAGAAAACCAGGATTCTATCAATCGTCTTCGGGCAAAGCCACTGGAAAAGATGCTATTCCCCACGAAATTTTTAAATATGGTGGGAAGACGTTGGTTAAGAAAGTCCTTGAGCTTTTTAAAGTCATATGGAAGGTTGGTTCTGTTCCACAGGACTACAAAGATGCGTGCATAAAGCATCTGTTCAAGAACAAAGGCAAAAAGGTTGTATGCGATAATTCCTGTGGCATTTCACTCCTAAGTATCGCTGGCAAAATTCTCGCTCGTGTTATTCTCAACAGAATTACCAAATATCTCATTGACGATATCTATCCCGAATCTCAGTGTAGGTTTCGATCAGGAACCATTGATATGATTTTTTCACTTCTTCAGGTTGCTGAGAATGTTCGCGAGAAGAACCATGAACTCTATACCGTCTTTATCGATCTGACTAAAGCGTTTGACACTGTAACCAGGAGTACCCTCTGGAAAGTGCCCCAAAGTCTTGGTATGGCTGACAGTATGCTAAATGTCATCATCTCGTTTCACTAAGGAATGAAAGTATCTGTGGAGAGTTTTCAGAAACCTTTGATGTAACAAATGGCACAAAACAAGGTTTTGTCATGGCTCCTGTACTTTTCGCTCTCTTCTTTTCGGTCATACTACACCATGCTTTTAGTGATCTTGACATGGGCGTGAAATTTGAATTCCGCACAAGTGGCAGCCTCTTTAACCATCAACGTTTTAAAGCAAAATCGCTGACTCGAGCAAACATTATTCGTGATCTTTTGTTTGCTGAGGACGCTGCGATCGTGGCCTCCTCAATCGAAGAAGCTCAAGCACTCGTCAATAGTTTTCCCACCGCTTGCAACGCATTCGGACTAACTATAAGCATAAATAAAACTGAATTTGTCAATCCACCAAGGCCTACACCTAAGCAGGTCAAGGGTGTAAAACAAAAAGCACCTTCCCATACCTTTCTAATCGTTCCCATGGCAACAACAACCTGAAGTATGTGAAAGTCAATTCAAGTGCCTCTTTGGATGACGAGATTTGGATTTTCATCGTATATGGTGTCGATGGTATTGTATCCTTTCTGATGCAATCACAGTTCAGATGGGCTGGTCATGTCATGTGATGATCGGATGCCGAAAGTCCTCATTTATAACCAACTTTTTCATGGTAAGAGTCATGTAGGCCGTCCTTGGTTACGCTTCAAGGATAAACTTTAATACAATTTAATTGCTACAAACATTGCTGTAAAGGTGTTCGAACTCGCTGTTGAAAACTGAGCAAACTGGAGACCCACCTGCCACCGACGACGTATGACTAACTTTGAAAAGAATCGTCGCAAGCATCTGAGAGAATAAAGAATTAACACTAAATCTCGGGCTAACATATGACGGTCAACTCTTCAGCATCTCCCTCACGTTGACTTGTTTGCAAATCCCGTGAAGGATTGTTGCCTCATACGAAACATAAAAATAAAAACTCAACTTAAAGACACTCATACGTCGAAAACTAATATAGTTCTATTATATAATATAGTAAATATCTATCTATCTATATCTAAGTTATATATATATATATATATATATATATATATATATATATATATATATATATATATATATTTCCACAAAATTTATTTCCTCAAAATTTAGCTCTCTCTATCTATATATATATATATATATATATATATATATATAAATGAACATTAGTCAACACTTAGAGGGCGACAGACTGTTTTTCATGCTAGACGCAATCATCAAGCCTGACTATTGCGTCTAACATGAAAAAACAGACTGTTGCCTCTAAGTGTTTACTTCAATGTTCACTTTTATATTTACACACGCTCTATCTCTGATATTGAGCATTTTATCCAATAAATATCACACACTTAAGAATATATATATATATATATATATATATATATATATATATATATATATATATATATATATATATATATATGGTGGCTAGCAATTCATATCTGAGGATGACTGTCTACTGGGCTGGCTATCTACTTTTTGCAAATAAATATAACATTTAACAATACATATGTTTGTATACGAATTATATATAAGTATATATATATATATATATATATATATATATATATTTATTTATCACTATAAATGTGTATTATATATATATATATATATATATATATATACATGTATGTATGTACGGATTGTGTGTATACATACACAAAAATGGAGATAGGTCTAAGAAGACAGAGGTGTCATAAAAATATAAGAATGAAGACCTTCCTTCACCTTTTCTCTGACCAATCCTAATTGTTTTATTACTCCTTAAGCAGAAAAACATTTTTGCCACAAATCCAGGAAAAATTTCGATTACTACTACACACAAAAGACAACATTTGAAAACATAAGGAAAATTAATTCCTTTTAATAAAGTATGAAAATAACCACTTTTTGACTGACGTAACCGGAAAACGTGTGTAGCAGAAATATGGAAAATAAAATATATTTAAAAAATCCGCATTTGCAGCTTCTCTCTTCTCTTCAAATATATAGAATGTCTGATGGTCAGCTTCTTGAGAGCAACCCCCTGCGTCTGCTCGATCTCACGTTGACTGCTGACCTGAGATGGAACAAATACATTGAGTCAATTGCTTCTTCCACCGCAAGGAAAGTTGGCTCTCTGTGCCGCGCCAGGAAGTTTTTCTCTCCGGAATCGATACTTCAAATATACAAATCAACCATTCGCCCTTGCATGGAATATTGCTGCCATATATGGTCTGGGGCACCTTCTGTTTACCTCAGAGTTCTTGACAAGATCCAGAGACGGATATGCAATACAATTGGCTCTGATCTGGCATATCGTCTACAGTCGCTCTCTCACAGACCCGCCGTCGCCTCTCTCTGTCTTTTCTACAAATACTTTCATGGTAATTGCTCCGATGAGCTGCTTTCACTAGTTCCCAGACTCCATGAATTCAAGCGCCCTACGAGGCTGGCATCCCGCTCCCACCCTTACACTGTAGAAATTTTCAAATGTAGCCGTCTCTTCTACTCCAATAGCTTCATACCTCGCACCTGTGGAACACCCTTCCCAATTACTGTTTCCCTGAGAGCTATGATCTCCAACTATTCAAATGTAATGTCAATCGACATCTCCAGTTACCTTGATCTATCCACTATCCCTCTCCTCATCCTTTCTTCTATCACTCCTATCTGCTCTTGCTCTAAATCTTCTGCAATCCCCTGCATTCTAGTGGCTTCAAGCCTTGCTCGGGGCGTAATACTTAATATATATATATATATATATATATATATATATATATATATATATATATATATATAAAAAAATATAACGAAAATTACATATAAATAATATATATATATATATATATTACAGCAAAATATAACAAAAATTTCATATAAACAAAATTGCATATAAATAAAAAAAAAAATATGTATATTACAGCAAAATAAAACAAAAATTAGCTCAACATAGAGGATAGTTTATTTCAAGGCGCTGTGTACGCGGCTATGATCAACAACTAAGATATATATATATATATATATTTATTTTCTAGCCATTCATATCCGATGATACCCGTCTACTGGGGTGGCTAGCTAACACAAATGTGCTCAGGCAAATATTTGTTCAACACCCATAGAGCCCACCTCGGGTTTATACTGTAAGTATGTTGAGTGGACCCTAAATTCAGTTTCTGGGAGAGAGCGCATTATCAACAGTATAATCAATAGTAACAGAGCCATCACACTAAAACCCTCGGTCACAATGACTTGTGACTTCGTGCTAGCACAACCACCGACGGCTCCCCAAAGGTTGCATCTACCAAATTTTATACACAAGGCTTGGGTCAAGCCAAGGTAGAGTTTTCAGATACTTTCCAAAGGTGTCACACGTTGGGATCACTCGCCTCCCTGACCTATAACGTCAGGAAGTTACCTTGCTCTACAAAGTGACCATGGTGAGATTCGTGAGATATATATATATATATATATATATATATATATATATATATATATATATATATATATTAGGGTCAAATAAAGCTCAAATATGCATCGGAATCCGATAGAATGCTAGAAGAAATAGGAAAAATATTATAGCAATATAAGATGTTTAACATTTACTAAAGTTTCATCAAAGAAGTAGATATGGAGAAAAAGAACCATAAGAGAATGTCTTTTTTTCTCCATATCTCATTATCTGATGAAGATTTAATAAATGGCTAACATTTTAGTTCGATTATCGTTTCCAAATTATTCTCTATCTCAATCTGTTTATATCGAATTTTCTATATCTGTCAATATCTATCTATCTATCTATCTATCTATCTATCTATCTATCTATCTATCTATCTCTGTGGCCATATCTATCTATCTATCTATCTATCTATCTATCTATCTATCTATCTATCTATCTATCTGTCTGACTGTCTGTTCATATGTATGTTTGTGTGTCTCTTCATATCTATCTCACTGTCTCTCTCTCTCTTTTGTCTATCTATCTATCTATCTATCTATCTATCTATCTATCTATCTATCTATCTGTTCATATGTATGTTTGTGTGTCTCTTCATATCTATCTCACTGTCTCTCTCTCTCTTTGTCTATCTATCTATCTATCTATCTATCTATCTATCTATCTGTTCATATGTATGTATGTGGGTCTCTTCATATCTATCTATCTATCTATCTATCTATCTATCTATCTATCTGTTCATATGTATGTATGTGGGTCTCTTCATATCTATCTATCTATCTATCTATCTGTTCATATGTATGTATGTGGGTCTCTTCATATCTATCTATCTATCTATCTATCTAGCTAGCTAGCTATTGTCGCATAAATATAACATTTTAAGCAATGCACATATATCTCTACCACTTTATATATATATATATATATATATATATATATAGCCAATGTATATATTTCCCGCGCGTAGATGCCAACAGGTGCATCAATATGGAGACAAATTCATATATTTAAGCTGTCGCATTTATATGTTAATTGCATCGCAGAAAGCAATATTTATTAATACAAGGAAAACCTTGATTTTAAATCACCATTTCCTTATCACCATACATGAACATAAACAAAAAACCGTAAACATGTTAATTCAGACAGAAAATGCCAAAAAAAAAAAAAAACTCCCTAAAGCGATTGAATGCTGACCTTGACCACCTCCTGGCTATTCCTGCAGCTAAACATCGCCCTCCGAAGCCTAATATCTTGTATAATATTAGGCTAATTATGTCTGCCTACATTTTTCGTACGTAAAACTGTTATTTTGACTGATAGTCTTCTTAAAATTAACTTGAGCCAATCAAAAGGCTAATTTTATGGCGCCGAGAAGTGAATTGAATTAGCCTCTTATTAAAAAGTGCAAAACAACTTCAGACAATCCCGATGTGCGAATTTCTGTAATGGATACCAGAATGAGATCTCGACTCGGCGAGTTCAAATTCCAATCAGGTTCATTAAATTAACTTACACGCAACTGCCCTTGAACTATTCCCCATTAGATGATTACAAAGGTAGCCTTAGTCCTAAAGCCTTGGTTGGCATCCGGTCTATCACAGGAAGAAATGGCAGCTTACTGCGGGAAGGTATTCTCCCTATTCAGTCATGAAACGAAAGAGATATGAACGCAGGGCAGACTGGGTCCTGTAGCCTTAGTTGGCAACCAGTCTATCGGAGAAAGAAACCGCTGCCTACTGCCAGAAATTTTTCTACCTAGTCAGTCATGAATGGAAAGAGAAATTATTGCCCAAGCATATATCATATACACCCTTGTGCAAGTTAATTGAAACAACCACTTTAGTTTCCTTTCTTACATCATACGGTCCGTTTTAGACGCTCTGGAGTAACAGGATGTAATCGATTTCTATTTTTTTCCTCAGATTATGTCATTTGCAGTAGTGTGCAGTAATATGAATCTATTTTTGCAGCGTGTGATGAAATTTGTTTAGCCTTGAAAAATATCGCGTCATCCGTGATTGTATCAGATTTTTATCACGCTCAGATACTATTGTCTCGACTGTCGATTAGTTGTCCTACGGACATTGTCTTCGATGGACGTTACTCTAAGGAAACGTATGAAAATTGTAACGCTGCACGAACACACTAGCAAGCCTTACCAGTGAGCAAATTAAAGTACTATAGACTGGCCTGGAAAGTCTCCTGATTTAAATCCAATCGGGAATCTGTGGTCAATCTGCAAGGAACGACTTCGTAGAATGGACATTTGAAATACTAACATGTTTCATTGGAGAAATATGAAAAAAATGAATAATAACAGAATTATTTGTTTTGTTTCAATTAATGGGTGTATGGCACTTAACTGTCTGGCTGACAGTCAAGAGGATGGAGTCTCTCATCTGTCATCAAACCTAAGATTTTTTTCTTGCGAAGAATTGTACCTTTTTCTGAGCCTCGTGTCTGTATAAGTACTTATTGCCCTGATATCTTGTGTGCATAGAGGGTTGCCCAGTTCTCTGAGGACACATCTTTTAATAGCAGTGACTTTTTTTTCAACTTGTTCTAATTAACATTTTCTTTCAGATAAATGATTAAAAAATTCAAACTAGCTCAGCAAATGAAAAGGTCGTTTTTTGACGGGTATTCTACAGAAATAGCCACACATAAAACGCATGCTAATCAGTACACCCAAATTTCTACTGTATTGCCAAATAAACATATCAGCAGCAACAGCCCTGGGAGTATAAAAACAAGCAGACTCTTAAGTATCTCTTCCTGATTTCCTCCTTTCAAAGTGTATGTCATGAACTTTTCAGACTGAAGCTAAAAGGGCTGTGGACACTTCATACATAATCACACCTACATAGGCAAGTCCCATAACCATTAACAATTTTTGTTGTGTATTTATTTCTAGGAAAATAATCTCTTAAGCTTTCCTTTTGTTATCTTTGTTTAATAAATGTCATCTTGCATTGCAAATTACTCGGCCTCTGTTGTTTTAAGCATCTGTCCTTTCACTATTGTTATTTCATGTAAAACATTCTTGAGGAAACCTTATATTAATTATAGAAGTAGCCAAAGTACGAAGTGTGTAGACAATTATCGATAAGAACTCCAGAAAAAAATTAAAGATATTGCCAAGGAACTCAAGGTTTCAAGTTACTTTATCGAAAGAATTATTCATGAAGAGCTTCTCATATGTTATGTGGAGAGGTCAATTCCTGTCTGCAAAGACAAAAGATGACCATCTGATCTACACAAGGTGCTTGTTGAGCATGTTTAAATACCAAGAGTCTAGAATGATTAAGTTTCGTTTTTTTCTGATAAGAAAAACTTTGGTCAGGACCAAAATCTCAACCGAAGAATTGACAAATGGTAATGTAGAAATTATAAGGACATTTTGTCGTTCACAGAAAGTTTTCAGCACTTGTGATTTTTCTGATAGTTCTTAGCAATGAAGGAGTTGTCATACCTCCTTACTTCTTTCCTCAGGGCTTAGGGGCTCGATGCTGTTGAAAAGGGTAATGAGATCTTGGATTGAGAGCATGAGCAAAGGAAGACTGTACACCCACCAAGAAGACTCTGCAACATCTGATTAGACCAAGGCGAACCAAGAATAAACGAGTTACAATCTCCATAATCACATCACCCAGTGATTTTCAGAGGTTTGGTGATGCGTTGGACTAACTCTTTGATTATATGCCCATAAGATTCAAGTAGAAAAGAAGATTGACTCTAAGTTAAAGTTACCAGGCAGTTGTGAGTTCAATTCCCACAGTCAGGTAGTTAAAATAAAATAAAAGAGAGTCATATACTCTGTCTCGTTCAGTGGAAGAGAAATGAATTAACTGACATGAGATCTTCTGGCGTGGATAACAGAACAAGAATAGGTTATGCCTGCAAACTGAATATATGGTTTAGTTTGAAATTTCCAGAAAGTTACCAAACTATGACAGAATGAAGGGTTTCATAGCCGAAATAGGCTTACAGCCACACTGTGTTGAAACACTATGATTACTGAATTTCAACAATGTCAAGCCTGATCAATACATTGCCTGATTGGACATGGAGCGGGCAACTCTATTCAATAAAATTTAGTTGTTATAGAAACCCCATTAGCAATACTCGGTGTGGGGTGGCGAGTCTGTGCTCCTAGCATTGTGAGGCTGCAGCTCTCTACTCCATGTTTAAAGGTATTAAAGGAGAATTAAGATTGCTATCCTCAATGTGGTGACAATTATTTCATCCAGACTTCAAGATCCTGTTATAAAATGGCCTTTATGATTGTTCCATGTAATTAAATTTAGGGAGAAAAATAAAGTTATTGCAAGAATAAGCAGTGTCCAATGAGAAGTTAAAAGATGAAAAAATAATGCCAAAATACAGAACAATGCATTTTTGCACAGGTCTTTGAGGACACATCTTTTAATAACTCTAATTTTTTCTAACTTGTATTGATTGTCATTTATTTTCAGATAAATGACAAACATCAAACTAATTCAGCAAATGACAAAGTTGCACTGCAATTATTACATTAAAGGCAGTGCAAAAATGAAAATAACACATTTTAACAGATATATTTACCAACATTCCACACATATAACTTGAAATACCAAAGAATAAATTTATTCAATAAAATCGCCATCGGCTTCAACGACGGTCTCCAGACAGCTTCGGAATCTCCTGTAACTCTTCTGGACTGTCTCCTGGTTTAAGTTGGTGAATGATGCCATATTTCTTGCCTTCAGTTCATCTTTGGTGTTAAAAAGAGTTTTGTTGGTCTCTTGCTCAACTACGCCCCACACATAATATTCAAAGGGTTGCAGTCTGAGGAAACAAGTGGCAAGATGTAAGGAGTGATGTGGTCGCCGAAATTGTCTGGCGGTCATAACTTGGTTCTCCTGCTTATAAGGCATGGTGCGGAGTCCTGTTGCCAGACATAGGATCTTCCAGCACCCACCCTCTTGACCCAGACCAGTACTAACTCGTCAAAGAACTTGGTGCAGGCCTCCTTGTTGAGCCTGAAACCCTCACCAAAAAAATCGGGAGTTCTTTTCTCATCGGAACGATCAGAGTGAGTTTTCTACCTTCGTAATAACCATTCGACTCATCCAAGTCTTTCCGAATCCTCTGCACTCTCCTCAGATTGACATCCAAAGACTCTGAAATGTCCGTATTGGAACTTCTGGTGCGAATGCCAAGTAGTACAGCATGCCGTTTCCAAATTTCTGGCAGAGTGAATTGAGCCATGATGCTCTTTTTCTCACAGACGGTGCCCAACTGACCCTACTATACTGTGCAGTTGATAAAATTAAAAGCAAACAACGCGCATGTGCGAAATTATAAATATAAAATGGCGATAATTTACCCATCTCAACCTGTATATTGAACGCAGTTTTATGCCTTCATATACAGATATTTTGTATAAACATTTGACCCGAAAGTATGAAATTACGTTTTTTCACTTATATAGTTTGTAGATGATTAGATGTATTTTTGGTCATTTAAAAAAATGTATTTTTACTACAAAAGTGTATTCTTGGTATTTTTGCTATAAAATGTATTTGTATTCTTTTTCTGTGTTGCATTTATACATTTTGCTATAAAAAAATATTGCTGGTCATTTTGTTACAAAAATGTATTGCTGGTTATACTGCTATACAAATGTATTGTTGATTTCTTTTTATAAAAATGTATTGCTGATAGTTTCACTACAAAAAAGGTATCGTTGATATTTTTATTATAAAAATGTATTTTGATACTTTCCTAGTGTTTTGATTTTTGCTTGGTGGGGGTTATTATTTGCCCATAGCTGGGACCCTAACAAGAGGTAGCACTCCTGGTCAAGGTG